ACCACTGCCTTTCTTATTTTATCAATAACAGCTTGCATCACAGCAATAAAAGTGCACTAGTAATATAAACCCAATGAAAACGAGTTATTCAATATTCTATACAGGTCGGCATGACTATAAAAACTTGCCTAGGCTCTTGCAGGTCATATAATATCTGCCGGGAGAAATGCATCTCGAGTTTTATTGATTGTCTCGTATTTCCTGGAGATATCAATTTTACATTCACCAGTGTACCTTGTCAGATTTAATACCGCATTTCGGTTTAAAATTTCATGTATCCATAAATATAAGTACATACGTGTTCACCAACTGTATTAATAAACATTATGGCAAAACAAAGCTTACCTCGTGTATGTTCAAGCCTACCCCAATATCTACTGGGATACAATTAAAAAATGAATTGTATTTTAACTAATGCTCAAACATACAATGGATTTTAATATGTTTAATCAAAGTTAGAGTCTTATGTACCTATTTGTGAGTTTAAGTGACATCTGCATGGGTTAAAAATTAAAATAGGACCCTCGAAGAATAAACAGTTTTAACAGAAACATTATAGCAAATTGGAAGGGATTTATTATGTGCTTCAGTTGTGAAACTAAAGTTCAACAATTAATTATTACTATACCTTTCATTAACTTAACTTTGAGCCGAGGGGCTAGTTAATAAAATACTAGTTTGAGTTATATAAACAGAATTTATTATATTTTGGAATATTACTTTTCAAAACCGGCTAGAGAATGGTATTAATTAATTACTTGAGAAATTCGGTCTAGTAACCAAGTACACCTTCAATATTACCTTATCCAAAAGCTGTTTACATAATTCTGAACATATTTTATGTACCAAACCGTAAACAAATGCATTATTCATATTTCGTAGCTCCGTTCTGTCACAAGGAACGATTAGTCTTCCTCAAATTGACATCATGTTTATCCTTCGCACTCATATCTCTACATAATATGTTTACAATGTTACAGCGTTTTACATGGATGGTTGGTTTACTGTATTTTATTTATAAACTATGATGAAATTGTAAATTTTCTATTGATTTATTAGTTGGACTCACTAGAACAACCAGAAAAGGACACAAAATGTTTATTCTAATTATTCTATTATTTTGGGTTTTACATAATATATTAAGTTTAATGCAGAAATGACGTGTTTACATGTAATAATCTAAGGGGTTTATGCAACATTTGTTTGGTAAGAATGGCCTCGCTAAATAAATATATAGTCCATATCTTGGATTAGGACTATTCCTTAAAAGTTAAATAATCAAGAACAGATGGGTCCACTTTTGAACAATCGAGAGGATACTCTCCTGACTTTTTTATCAATTGTCTACATTCTGTCGTAGGTTAAACATACTGCCTTGTTTACTAACACTTTTCAAGAAGAGAAAAATTAACCCAAAATAAGGGAAACCCATTTAGTCTACATTTGCAAACTTATAACAGTAACACGAAACCATTAAAACTTAAAGAAAACCAGCTAAGTAGTTTTTGTTATGTACTCTAGTGGCTTTTTAGCTTACTTGTCAGGAGCAGTTTAGTTAAAAAAAAGACAGCCTATGAACAAACCTTCCTTACAAAATTACACATTTATCTGAGGATTCCACCCTATCAGTTAGGTTTGGTTAAATATACTTAGCTGGGCTTATACAACCAGTCAAGACTGGGTCGTGACATCTAACCTCTGTTTACAGTCACAGAAAGCTGCGTTTCTGACGTACGCAGCCAAAGGTTTGGTCAGCTCTGCAACTTTCGCTTCCATCAACGACCTACGTCCAGTGGAAATCATTCGAAATATACGCTACTGGAATACTTGATGTTGTTAGTGCAGATACATCTAGGGCCTCTCAGTTGGTCACCAATTCGAGATTTAATCGTTGCTCCATTTCGGAATACGAGATAGCTTTGCATTTTTTTCAAGGCAGTACTCTTCGAAGTGGTGTATTTTGGATGAATACGTTTCGGAGGTAAACAGAGATTTGAATCCAGAACCTCAGGCACCGAATTCCCGCGCTCTAACCACTAGACCAGCTCGCTCCCCCGGCGATTGAGCCACTATACTCACCAATAATCCTAATATTGGTGTAATACAACCAAATGACACTTTTATCATAAACAAAACAAAGGGATGGATCTTAGAAAGGTGTGAAGTGAGCTAGTGGTACATAGAGGTTTCGAGATTCATATTACGGTGTTATGATTACTAATTGGGTTAGGTTTGAGTACGGTAAGTTTAGAGCTATCCTCATTTAGTTTGGTGTTTCAATTCATATGTATATAATTTCTTCCATTCACCATGCAATATTACCTTAATTTTTTTAAGTACATATAGTTCATAGTTTAATCAATGCAAAACTCTATTACGATTCCGGCAATCAAAATAAACACTATGATGTTCATAGTGTATCTTTTACACTTTATCAATACAAGTATTACCATTTATATCATTGAAACGTTTTAACCAAACTGATAGTTTGGGCTTCATTGGCTACTGCAGTTAATCTGTTATCTGTGAAAGAATACTCGATACAATGTCATGGTTGCATCCTCTGTTCATGGAACCTTTCCATTCTTCCTTTAGTATAGCAGGCCTTCTTCAGTCTTTCGTTTCCTCCTCCACTGTGTGGGGGTAGAACAGCAATAAGGAAATGTTACCAAATATTCGTCAGTCGAGTGCAGCCTTTCCTCCCGTTCACTGTACAAGCGGTTCTGTTCATAAACCTTGTGGTGATTTGACGGCCAAAGAAATGTTACAGCTGATCTTGATGAGTGAATGTGTCATGTGTTAGTGTTATGCAAGAGTATGCTGTAACAACAGCGTCTGAGAAAGGTAACAAGTCTTTCGCTGATGCATGTTGTACAGGGACATCTTAACATATAAATCAACAAAGAATTAAATATGAAATGATTTAATTACATTTGAGCAAGATGGGCACACCAGGGTGCTTATTTTAATGAATGCATGTGTAATAATGAGTGATAAAAGCATGAGAATGTAATAGCTTTATAGCTGAGGATCAGCCTTTTATATAGTCAGGATGATTTAAAGTCCAATGTTCAAGGATAGTTAGATTCAGGTAATCGATCAAAAATTAATATGTAATGTAAAGACTTCTCCATTTTCACCTCAAGCTGTAAATAAAACATGTGATTGGAATTTCTTCCATTTGTTTTGATATTATGTTGTTATTTTGTCACCAGCATAGCAACCCATAGGCCCATGTTACTTTTTGAAATTTTAGGCCCTTTTTTAAATTTTTGGTCTTTTTTTTACCCTATTTTAATTTATAAAGGTATTCTGCACATCTACAGGCAAATATCTTTCCAACAGTATGCGTAGATTTTCTCTGCGATGCACACGAGCTGAGAAAAAAGTTTTTAAAGAAACATGCTTGTCTATTCATATGTTAATATGTTTATAGTAGCTTTAAATTTATTTTTTATGAGCAGAATAAATCACAAATCAAAAATCTTTTGCCTATCACTTTATAATATTTGTATTTACTATAGTATGAATAACTATGGGACTGTTTCTGTTTTTATATTAATTTAGGACTCTGCTACTAAGTTTTCAACGTTTCGATGTTTTTAGCGATGAAAATAAGTGATCCCGAAGTTGATATCCAAGGCACCATTATAACAACATACGTTTCCTCTGTTAATATTTTTATGTAGTAATATGACAGTACCCACGGTTTATTGAAATAAATCAAAATTTTACGGAAGTAAGTGTTTTATTTACGCCATGGCACATGTTTTGAAACCTGTGTTAACACGCATCATGTGATTCATGTGGATTTTTAGTTTTTTACTGAGCAACTGCCATAAACTAACACATTTTTTGGTAACACAGCGTAGCCAGACATTTACGTTTGTAATGCTATGGTACTTCGTTTAGCCGGAATGAATAAGTTCGTAGTACGAATATTAGCAGTTTAAATGCGTTATCTACTTAACATAGGAAGTGAAGGAAAAGATTTGAACTGAGAGAAACTGGTCATATTTACCAACAGGTTTCAACCTTTCAAGGAGCAAATAAATAGCGTCAGCACTTTCACGAGCCCGCGGACACGGTTGTACAGGAAGGCAAGGATAGTGCGACCACGACTGGTCTACCTATCGATTATCGAGCTATTGAGGTCAGCTTTTGAGGCGATTCGATTTTTGTTTGAATAAATCTAAATAAATAATAGGAAGAGGCTGCGAATAAGGAAATGGGAGGACTGAGTTAAAAACATAGCATTCTAACGTCAAACTATTGCTGAGCTTACAAAAGCACAATGGTCTTATTAAGCCCACTGAAATTCATGGTTATGTTTATGACTTTGTAAATTTCAAATATAGGAGCACTATCGATCTTCTTAAATTATCAAATGGGTAGGCCTGAAATAACGTTTGAAACCTCTTTTGGTATATTGTTTATGGATAGTTTTTCTTTATGTTTAATGCATGTCTGTTGGTATGCCAACATGTTAGTTGAATATTAAATTTTAAACCTATAAATTGTACAATATTGGTCCTAGTAAAACAGTGGAAGTTCAAATGGCTCAAGAAAAACCAAAATTAATCCATTTCATACTATAATTATCCCAGTACTACCCGTATGTTAAGAAACTAGGTAGGCATTGACCAGTGAAACAAAAAGCGTATACTAACAGTTTTAACCGAATACTTGATTCCCGTGTATAGGTCTTAATTAATCCTATAAAACATTAATATCTTGAAAGCTTTATGATGTATATGCAAAGTAAACCCGTCAAAAGCTATGTCACTCTACTGTCTTTTTGGATCAAATGTGCGCCGTTTGCATTCTGAAATTACTCTATTGTTTCTTAAGTCAAAAGAGTTTATAAAACAGTCACAGATCATAAACATTATTTACTACACAAACATTTGTTTACACTACAGCGGTATGTAAGCCAACCTGGTAACCAGTAGAAGGGGGGGGGGTCGCTGGGACTATCCTTCTCTCTCTTCCTCAGTCTAGTGGGATACTTCTTCAGAAGAGGATATAACTGACTCAGGTACCTCTCCACTGTTCAACTGTAATATACAAATGTTATATTTCCAGGATAAATTAGTTACTTGAGTGACATTGCAAAAATGGGCAGAACCAGTCTCCCGTCGAGCAGGATTTTTTAAGTAACGCCAGCACTTTTATTTTACAGACCACTCTAGTTATCAATAATTTTACTGAGTCTGTTATCACATATCTTAGCACAAATAGTAGCTTCATTTTACTATTTTTAACTTACCGCCCCATTTATTTGGCCTCCCCTAATCGTTATTCTATTTTCAGTATGAGATGTATTGCTTAGATAGTCTATTATTACCTAAGATATTTTGTTTGGCTCAGTTACCTACTCTGTGGCTTAGTTTATCTCAATACATCTGAAACTACTAGTATACTAGTACTACTATACTATATAATATATATAATGTATATAATAGTATACTAGTAGTACTAGTACATAACAAATAAGGTAATAGGCTTCATTTAATCAAAAGACGTGTTGTACAGGAACGATGGATTTACCTCCTATCGATAACTGTTGGAAATCCATTACGTACATTACCATTATTACCAATGACTTTGGTTAATTAATGGACGAGAACTTAGGATTGTTGTTGATTGTGTTCACCAGTGACACCGGTAAGTAGGATAGGTGCTACTAAAAAAAAAAAAAAAAAAAAAAAAAAAAAAAACGAAGGTGGAAGACCATTGTTGCGCCCACGTTCACTCATCCCGTTACGCGCAGAATAAGCGTACTACTAGTATATAATCAATAATCATCATTATTAGTAAATACGTATGTTATGTTTGTTTTTATTACATACATACATGTTATGTATGTATAAGGTTTCGAGATACCTCAAAGGGTAGCTTTCTCTTCTTATTTACTTATCTGCCTCGATCGAGATGTCTGCAGGCGTATGTTGGCAGTTATACAAGTTAGTGCTAAGTAAAGAGATGCCAATTTTAGTTGTACCATAATGGATATGTTTGTATTTATTTGAATGTTTATGCTTCGTAATATTTTAACGGTTATTTCACATTTTCGGAATTGTTTGGATGAAATGAAAAAAAAGATATTTGAATTTTTTTTTATAAGTATGAACATCCCCATACCAACCTCATTAATATTTTTACATTGTGAAATTTATACAAAAATAGAAATACTAATGAGTTAAAAAGTCAGACATTGATATGTGAACACGTTTTGACAACAGGTTGTAAAATGTTGATATTTATCATAAAAAGGTATTCAATGAATGTACAAATGATCAAATTTCTCTAACTGTCGTTCTTCTTGTTCTCCTCTTTAAATTATAAAATAAAAATGTGACGGATTTTAATGGTCTATAAACCAGTCAATGTCAATGTATTTATATACACTTACATTTACTATTAACAAAACCTTGCCTTGTAAAACATAGATGGGCAATATTACGTTGAATTATAAAATCGTCAATGCAATACTCTACCTAGCGTATTTTATTCTTAAAATTAACCAAGAAAGACTCCCTTTACGATGTTATTCCACTATATGGGAGGTTTACTCCACTATATGGGAGGTTTATTCCACTATATGGGAGGTTTATTCCACTAAATGGGAGGTTTATTCCACTATATGGTAGGTTTATTCCACTATATGGGAGGTTTACTCCACTATATGCTAGGTTAACTGCACTATATGGGAGGTTTACTCCACTATATGGCAGGTTTACTCCTCTATATGGGAGGTTTACTCCACTATGTGGCAGGTTTACTCCACCATATGGGGGGTTTACTCCACTATATGAGAGGTTTATTCCGCTATATAAGAGGTTTACTCCACTTCTATGAGAGGTTTACTCCACTATATGAGAGGTTTACTCCACTATATGGGAAGTTTACTCCACTAAATGGGAGGTTTATTCCACTATGTGGCAGGTTTACTCCACTATGTGGGAGGATTAGTCCACTATATGGGAGGTTTATTCCGCTATATGGGAGGTTTACTCCACTATATGGGAGGTTTATTCCACTATGTGGCAGGTTTACTCCACTATGTGGGAGGATTAGTCCACTATATGGGAGGTTTCCTCCACTATATGGGAGGTTTACTCCACTATATGGGAGGTTTATTCCACTATGTGGCAGGTTTACTCCACTATGTGGGAGGATTAGTCCACTATATGGGAGGTTTATTCCGCTATATGAGAGGTTTACTCCACTATATGGGAGGTTTACTCCACTATATGGCAAGTTTACTCCCCTATATGGCAGGTTTACTCCACTATATGGGAGGTTTATTCAAAACATTCATGTTGTCGAGTGAAGCATCAGACAAATGATCTGCCAGGTTTTAACAACTATTTATACTGGAAAACATTTTTCTGTTCAGGATATCACGTGCCAAATATTTCTCACGACAATTGCTATATCCCTTGTAGCTGTTTTCTGATTAGATGTAAAGTTTATCTTAAGTTTAATCTTCTCGTATACTCAGTAATTTAGATTACCACACTCCGAAACTAAGAGACAAACTTTACCAATAAGACACTCGTAGGGTTACAAGGAATTAAAGACAGTCGTCATCTTTAATGATAGTACTCGTAGTGTGTCACAACAGTCATCAGAGACTATGGCTCTGGGAAGAGCCTCGTAGCGGAATTCCCCTAGAGTGACGCGTATAACATGATTATGAATTATTATAATAACTATATTTCACAAGGTCCATTGTACAAATCTAACACTGCGTAGACTTCAAGGTTAAATAACGTTAAGTATTGTGTTTTGGATTGTTTAAATATCTTTGTTTATTATTATAAGTAACACGTAATTGTATGTAAGTAGATGGTAGATAATATTTTGTTATCAACTAATAATAAACTATAAATGAAACACTGCAAAGATCAATTCCATTGGTTTCATTATTAGGAAGAATCCTTATAGAAAGTAAGGGTTTCTTGTTAATGATCAAACAATGTTTAGTATATTGAAAGGGTTTGAATAATATGTATGAATAAAAATAAGGACTACGAAATATGTAATAAGGTTTTTCTTATTACATATTTAGTAGTTCCTGTGTTATAACTTTAAGTTTTTTTTTTTTTTACTCGTATAGTTTGATAAATCTCAACCAACCGGCACTTATTTGCATTTCTATTTGTTTCAAAATATACCTAATTGTTACTTTATCAGGACTGATTAAATATAGATATTATAAGCAACAATATTAATTTATTAACATACGCAAACGTTAACTACGTTTTAGGGGGTGAAAGTGAACATTTGTATTCATACGACTAATATTTACAAATATGCGTTACTACAAAAGATAAACGCTTGAAAATGATTATGATTTATTTAACAACCTAAGTAGGAAAAATAAAAAATAAAAATACATGTCTACTTAGCCATTATGTCAAAACATTCAGATTGCCTAAACATTTTTTCCGGTAAACTTTCAAAACTTTTGTTGGATGCATCGTGCAAAGTGACTTAAATATTATGAGTGGAACCCGCAAACTATCCATATACCAAATGCAGAATCCACTCTCGGCTCTTATCCACAGAATTGTTCGGTGAAATCTGCAATCTTTCTCCCGCTATCCTAGATACATAAATTTACACGAAGGTCAACTTCTATCTGTTACTCACGCTGCGCATTTATATAATCCCTGATAGTAGGATGGTTTCACAGTTACTAACTGGTCAACCGGTCATTTACAATTTAAGAAAACTTAAGTGAATGGAGTAAAATTGACTCTGCACTTCCAATAATTAAAAGGTAACCCTTAAATACAACATCACGATTTACATAAATCTTCCCGCCAACTATAGTAAAAATATAATGTTTGCGAAACCGTTGAGGCGTGTAAACGTGTTTAATGTTTGTATAAGCTTCATGTTACAAGGTATTTATTTTCAGAAATTGTTCACAGTTTGTAATCGAAATATGGAGGTAGATTATTAAGAGATGAACATAACTCTACTTCTACAATGGTTTATGATATCGTAATTTCCTAAATGATTTTTTTTTTTTGTTTGGCATTTTTCTGTAATTTAATAATGTTGACTAAGGATGTAAGGATTTAAGAAGTAGAGGATGAAGACAACGGTTACCCCCGTATGACCTTGGTTTGTCCAATTAGGAATTTACAGAGGAAAACGTGAACCTGCGACTTTATGACTACACATAACTACTATTCAATTTGATTGTTTTAATTTTGTTTGAAAGAAGCACGTGTATTTGGCATTTACTTTAGTGAGATAATTATTTTTTCTACTCATTCATTTTTTCTTTATACATTACTCATTCGTACACAAGCGTAAGCCCTCGTAACCTCGTCCGCTCTGTCGATAAATAGAATTATCCAAACTATAACATATCCTTCTAAAAATTCATCGTTTGGATTTCAAAAACTCGACAACCACAAAAACTTCACTCTTTATTGTATTTAAAATTCAAACTAACATTATTGTTTGATGTTTATGATGGGTTACAATCCTACAGCTTCAACTCCTAAAAAAAAGTCTGTTGGGCCTGAATATATATTGATATTTTGAATTACAGTCTTTACCGTTGATAAAACATGTTTATCTATCAAATTCAGATTCAAATATATTTATTTATGATATCCTAATACAACAGTTTTGTCTCGCCAAATATACAAAACTTTTCGATGAGGTCCAATTAACGCATGAAAAGTAACAACGTTTTTTTTTTCTTTAAAAAAATGTATCGATCACTAATAATTCCGTGGCGGTTTGTGGCAGGCACTTGTCTATACAGAATAAATTGGTAGCAGAAATACAAAACTCTAAATGTAGTATATAAAATCACTTTATCATCTATCTGACTTATAATCTATGTATTACATTCCGTTGTCTTTGTTAATAGTCCATTTATCAATGAAAAATCACTCCGCCGAATTAGGTAGAATTTAACCCAAAGACTAAATTCCTTAAAGTTATTTCTTTTAAATTCCTGTTTAGTCGACAGGATTACTAAAGGCCAAAATTTCAATATCGATA